ACAAAAGAGTTTCAGATTTCAAAAGATCAACGTCTCCCTTTCTAAAACAGGTGTGTGCTGTGATACTGTAAATAGTATGAATTAACAACAAAAATGTATGACCCTAATTTCTGTATCTGCAGATTTTGTCAATGCTTACAATGTCATCCAGACATGTTTTTTACTCTTCATCAATGTAGAGTTAGCAAACATTTTGATAATCATCATGAGCAAAGAAATTACACTACATGTTTCCTAAGGTACCAAAGATAGATTATTAACCTTTAATTTGTGAAATCATCCCTTATGTTCAAAAAATGGGGCAAAAGAAAAGAGGAAATGTCTGTTCTAATTCCTTTATAAATCTATTAATCCTATTTCATCCCTCAAAGTATTTATTCATTTTTCCATGATAATGTGCACATACTTACCAAAAGTAATGTAAGATTCTTTTTTTTTTTTTTTTACTGTGTTATTATGTCACCAGTACTGCCTTGGTTAATTCTGAGCTATTTTTGCCACCATAGCAAGTAAAATACCTGAAATTAAAATAAAAGTACCAGCAAAGGTCCCTGTATTAACACCCACTTATTTGTAATGGTGGCAGTGGCAAAACTTTAATATACAGTTCAATAATAATAACACTACTGATGTCTATTAAGCTATGTTTCAAGACCATTTCATACAATATCTATGTTTTAACACTTCCCTTTATGCAATATTCATAGCTCTACTCAAATCTGCCAGAGACACAGGATAGTAACCAAAGGTTACAGGGAAATAATTTCACTCTAAAGTAACCCTCTTACTCATGCTTTTCACTCCCTTCCTCTGGAATGACCTGAAGATCCCAGTATTTTTCAAGAATGCTACAACACAACAAACAAAAATGTTTGTTGCACAGCCTGCTCCAAAATGTCCTAAGGTCTCATCTCCCTCCCACCCTGACCCCCACACACACATTTTGAAAAAGCTACTAATGTTATTTGGGGTGGCTCTTTGTAATTATAGATTTTTTAAATGGTTTTAATCATTTCTGTTAGGAATTCTTTTTTAATTTGGGCCTTCCCAAGATTAAGTTAAGTTCTTTGAAGTAATATTAAAGATACCTGAAAATAAACAGCAAAAAAATAACTCAAATCACCTTTTAAAATAATTTTTGAAAACACAGGCTTTCTTTAAAAGGTCAGCTAATTAATAAAGCGAGATCCATTTCACATATAGACTTAATGTAAGAAGATATTGTTCCACTTTTTGTCAGGGCATAGAGATGTGTTTCAGGAATTTCATCCCAGTGAATGAATATTCCTCTTACTATGTTTTGAAACATTTCTATAACACCTTGAATAAAACATTTTTACTCCTCTATGAAGACAATTTTAACAAAATAAATGTAAAGGAAAAACAATAAAAGTTTAACATTCATGATCACTACAAGCTTTTTGTTAAAACACTAAAAAATGCAACATATTCATTCCTCACTATTTATCTTAAAATACTGATTCCCTGATCCTAGCAGAATATAATTTTAGTAACTCATCAAGACAGAATACATAAAATTGGCATATTTTTTATATGCACACAAATTGAGAAAGCATCTTTCCCATCTGTGCTGCAGAAAATGAAATGCATCTGGTGTGACAAGATGGCCCGGCACGTGAACGAGAATCAGTGGGACGAAAGGAGTTTCTTTTTTTTACAAAGCAGATTATTTTAAATAATGCATGTTATATAACATGCAAGACAGTATCAAATGTGTTATAGTGCATTGCAAAGGTATATTTGGCTAAAGAAAACATAATAGCACGAGGGTTGGCAGGGGCATGAGAGGTAGCTTGTTCCGTTTTAATCACTGTTCAGCATTGACTTCCAAATCTCTTGCCCCAGCAACCCAATCTGATTTTTGGCTTGACATCTCTACCCAGTGTCAGAGTATGTGCACATATGCTGTTGGGGCTTCATGCTGGGCTGGGGGATGGAGAGGTGGGGAATGTTTGGAGAACATGGCTGATGCCAGGATCAAGCAGAGAACAAGAGAAAAATTGAGCAATTTGTCTTGTTTTTTGCAACAAATGTTCTTTCTCCCTTGAAAGTTCTTTTTATCTAGGCCATCTGAAGATGGATTTTATGCTTTCATTGTCTTTTCTTTCATGTGTTCCCATCTGTTCTTGTGAACTGTGAATAAAACTGAAATCTACATGTGCTACACACTCTATCCCATGCCCAAGTGTTTTTGCAGATGATGTGCTCAGAGCTCCAGAGAAGATCTCTGAGATAGGTAGGGAGCATGGAAGGGTGCTGCAGAGCTAAGCCTACTCCTGGGCGCCTTGGTGAGTCCTCATCCTGTTCCAGGTTCCAACCCTATTTCTTCCTCCTCCCCATTCAGAGGGGTGAGTGGGCCCGTTGAGTTGGGCAGAGAAGTATTTAGAGGACTCAGGAATCCTCTCTTCTGCATCAGTGAGCAAGTGCTGCTCAAACCTGGATTTGTGACTCGTGACAGAGAAAACTGTCCAATTCTCAGAGAACAAGGCTCCATTAGCAGCTGTTGGAAACCACCAACAGTGCCTCTCCCCAGGACTGTGTCTGGCAAGGGACAAGCCCCTCAGGGCTTACTGTCCTGCCTATACCCACCTTTCACCTATTCTTTGAAAGATATTTTAGCTTTTTTGTTTCTTCTGTGTCTTCACTAAAATGCTAGTTCTTTATAATTAAGAGCTTCTTTAGAACTATAGATGTATGACTAATGTCATTTGTAAATATGACATAATAGATGTGCAACAATGAATGAATCACAGAGAACAAAGAACAAGTTAATCTAGCTAATCCATCATAGGACTGATTCTAGGGTTGGAGAAAAAACTCCAGGACATATGTAAACTTGCAAGTATTATTAATCAATAGGACTGAACTCATCTCAGAAACATAAGTTCTAAAACTTGTCAAAGGTAAATGTAGTCATGGGAAAAGATTCTGGAGAATGACTTGACTACAAAACCTCTATCATTTATCAATCATGTGACCCTAGAAAAGTTATTTTAATTTCTTCAAGTATTGGTTCCCTAATCCATAAAAATGGAAACAAGAACTTTGATCATGTAGGACTGCTACAGGGATTAAACCATGTATGGCTATAAAGTGGCCAGTATATGGTGAAGGCACACACAATGTTTAATGTCTTCTCCAAAATACGTTTAGGTCTTTTGAATATGAAATTCATATTTATACAGCAGCATTTTTGAAATAAATATTGATGGTGTCTTAAAACTTTCAGGTAAAAATAAACATAAATACCAATTCAGAATTCCCTGCTGTTGCTTTGAAAATATCTTGCTTCAGTGAGCTGCAAAGTAATTTAGTAAGTTAACATTTGCAGTAATATCTCTACCATCCAATCTAATCCAATTATTATTTGTCTTATTATTCTTGGTTGCAAAATTTCATCAAAACAAATGTAAACAGTACCCCAACTCTAAAATTCTTATAATTAGGCTATGTACACACTAAAAAAAAAACCCCACACTTTTTAAATACATAGTATTCATCTTTACTGAATTTAAAACATCCTTTTAAAATGACTTTTTAACTTTACTTTTGGAACCAGAAAGGGGACTTCTCAAATTCTTTTTCAAGATGAAGGGAAAAGTAGGTTTATTTGGGCTTTTTGTCAATAATCTCCCTACCTACTCTTCTGAGAATAACTAAAAACATTTTCTAGAACATCAGGAGTTTCCTCCAACATCAGTTAACATCAGGTTGCTGCACTCAACTGTGTTTATTAAACAATAAAGCACTCATACTCTGCTCTATTTTCTGAAACCATACTAATAAACTATGAACAGTTTCAACTGAAAGCACATCTATTCCCATATCTTACCCTTCTAAACACAGCTTTATGTTTTCTGTACTTAAAGTTTTAATGTACATAGCATTAATCTAACATGTCTATTCAGAGACAAAATATTGAGTTCAAATAAAGTACGATATATTGAAAGAAAAGAGTTCTTTAGGTCCCTGGCAGAATGGAACTCTCAAGATATTTGATAACACTAACACAATTTGATAAACATTTACAAAAGGAGAGCCTCCCTCTAGAACAGTGGTTCTCAACCTTGGCTGCACATTAGAATCACCTGGGAATCTTTTT